AGTGCCCGAATGTGTTGCCCGTCAGCGAGCTCTTTCCTATATTGAAAGAGTCTGGCCTGGCCTGCGGCCTGGCTGGGCTGGACCTGTGCCCAGAAGCTTCCGGTAGGCCCCAGGTAGCTGGGCCTCTGGTGCTGCTGCTGCTGCTGGGCCTTGTTCGGTTACGCCTCCCAACTGTCTGCGTATATTGCTGCAGATGTGGCCCGGGGCCTGCTTTTCGGAAAAGGCCTAGAAGGCCGCGGAAAGTTTTGCTGCTCGTGGTCTGGGTTCCCTCAACCAACTGATGTGACACAATTGGCTGAACTCCAAATACGAAATTGACAGCAATGGGCCTGTCGTGATTTGTCAGGCCCGCCTTCACTTAGGGCGGGCACACTTGTAAAAAGGGGCCCCTTACGCCTGCCGTGGAGCCAGATCCTCGCAAGTTCCCCCCCCCCCCCCCCCCGCTTACAGCAGGTGGAAGTGGGGTACGCGCCCAGTGACGGTGATACGCAGAATGGAAGAGGGCATAAACTGCCCTCATCAGCAGAAACACCCATGTTCAATTTTTCTTTCTTCTTTGCTTTTTTGCTTATGATTTTTTCGGTGCTGCGCACACACGCACGTGCGCGCGCATGTTTGTGTGTGTGTGTGTGTGTGTGTGTGTGTGTGTGTGTGTGTGTGTGTGTGTGGCATACTGATACCACACGGGCCCGGTTCTGTAGTAGGCACGGTTTGGGCCAAGGTACCGGGTCACGACGGTCCCAGCTAGGTTCAGGTAGGCCTACGAACCGTCGGTTCAGTTTAGGGTGCGGTAGGCCTCGTTTAGACCCCACCAGACCCAACGGCTAGTTGGTTAGGCCAGGTACCGGTCCATCGGTAGGACCGGCCGGCGGCGCAGTTTTAGGCGCCACTTTTCAGATTCAAATCGGATCTGAAAAACGGTCCAGACCCGAAGGCACTCAGTAGGACTGAGGCCGACCCAGCACTATATCAGCTGGGTACCAGCCTCAGTCGGTAGGTTCGTGGCGAGGATGTTAGTCTACAGTATTAGCGCAGCACTTCAGCGCAGAGAGCGGAAACGGGTAACCGTTACCTGTACCCGGCCGTACCCGACTGTAACCGCCAGGTTACGGGTGGGTATGGGTGCCCCTTCTGAAGGGGGAGTTGGGTATGGGCAGACACAAACAAAAGGTGGTGGTTGTTAGGGCGGACACAGTTGCCCTTTTTGGAGATCATGGGTGGGTAGGGGCAAGTAGGAGTAGGGGTACAAAAAATAAAAAACGGGTATGGGTGACCAAAAAAAAAAATAGACGGGTATGGGCAAGTACGGGTGGCCGAAAAACAAAAGGGGTGGGTACGGGCGGGTAGAGGTTCCGATCGGGTAACCGTGCTATACCCGATGTGAGTCTTGTAGCTTTGCAGGCTTTGTATTTTTGCTCAAGCGTGACGCTTTTCCCATATTTCAAATTTCTCGCTTTCCCATAACGCAAACATTTTTTTTCGCAAGGGTGAATTTTATATCTCTTCATTTTTTTATTTTTTGTTTTTCAAATTTTCAAACTATTTTCATATGTGTGTAACCCTGTGTATGTAACATATATTAGTGTGTGTGTGTGTGAGAAAGAGTGTATGTGTGTGCGACAAACCGAGGGTTCTTGTATTTGCAGATGCTATACAGGTTGCATAGGCTGCTGTAGCACCAGATGCATCCATAGCAGTATTAGAGTGACGAGATGTAACAAATGTTGCTTTTGGGGCAGTAGCTGCCGCAGCTGGCACATCTCGAATAAAATAAAATAACATAATAATATTAATATTAGTAATAGTAATGAAAATTACAACGTCAATCCTGTGACTTATAGGGGTTGGGAATAGTTGGGGGCGGTTAAGGACAATTAGGGGTGGTTAGGGACGGTTATGGGTGGTTAGAGGAGGGTGGACGACGAACACGGGTGGTTACAGGTGGGTGCATACAATTATGGGTAGGTACGGGTAGGTACAGGTAAAGAAAACTTGGGTAGGGTAGGGTATGGGTGGTTAACAAACGGTTTGGGTTTGGGTTCAGGTGGCCATGGGTGGTTTTGAAAAAAAATGTTCATGGGTAGATATGGTCAGTTACATGTTGAAGAGGTCCAGGTAGGGTACGTCTGGTATAGTTTTTTTTTTTTTTAAACACGTGGAGATGGGTACAGGTCCGACAGACCAGGTATACAGTGGGTATGGGTGGTTGGTTTTCAAAGAGGGTGTGGTTAGGTCAGGTACAAGTACTCCTAAGAATCCCAGTTGCAAACTCTGCTTCAGCGTTAGCAGCCGAGCATGCTTCAGCGTTAGCAGCCGAGCAGCGGAGAGAATCAGCGCAGCGTGGAGGAGAGATAGCGCAGCGGCAGATTAGCGTAGTGGTGGAAGAGCGCCAGCCCAGCGCCAGCCCTGCAGCGCCATAGCTGCCTTGCGCATTTATCAGGGAGAAAGGCCTTGCCTTTCCTCCCTCTTCTTCCTCCTCCACTCTCTCTCTCTCTCTCTCCTTCTACCCTCTAAGTCTAAGTCTACTTCTGGGTTACTCCTACTGGACCACTAGAGTATGAAGGATGGTTAGTAGGTTACGAGTTCTGATGTTGGAGATGGCAACATTGAGACTGCACGTTGAGGACTACTTTGGGATCTGATTTCATCTACCTCTGGAGATATACCTTGACATTGTGAGGTCGATATCTGAGACACTGTGAGACTCTGTGTTAGTGACATTTCAGATTTTTGCTATTTCTGATATTTCGAGATACTACCTTTGGAAACATTGAGTTGACGTCATCTTCCCTCTCCTCCTCCCTTCGTCTCTCCTCCCTCCGTTCATCCGTGTATGAGAATTGACCCTGGCCTTTTCTTCTATGACCAAGGCCAGGGCTTCCCACCACCGATGTATGTTTGTGAGTGTTTCGTTGCAGTCTGAGTCAGGTCTGAGTCAATCCATGTATCTCAAGTCTTCTGCTATATTTGTACTTACTCTGTATTATCTGGTCGGTTCTGGGAATCTGCGCCATACTTATGACTGTGTTTCACGAGTATGCAACAGTTTGGTATCGGAGCAGACCAGCATTGGATGACTCACCATTGATTGACTGATTGATTGATTGATTGATTGATTAGATACACCTGTACTCTGTTATCATTAATCGCAAGTTGCACTTTTTTTTTTTTTTGTTTCTTCTTCTTACACAGTTAATTAGGTCGTTTGAATTCTATTTTTAGGTTTGGCAGCTCTCTCCATAATGCGCACAATTAAGAAATCGCTAATTACGATTAACCTAATTAGCGCTAATTAGGGCTAGTCCTAGCCTAATCTACCGACCTATCAGGCTATGGGAAGTAAGTGCCAGCCAGGCACCTCGCCAGTTACGGCAAATCGGGCCTAGCACGACCACATTCAACTGCAACTTCACGGAACTTTCACTTTTGCAAATCGCATCTTTGTTTGGCGATTAAAGATTGAACCTTTACAGCAAATGGTGTATCTTCCTACTACCATTGATCTTCTACTTACCTAATGACCTCGTAAGGATGCTGATTTCTCCCAATTAAATTTCATGAAATTAATAAATTATTTAATTAAATATTCCGAGTAAATGTTTAATGAACTTTAATCTTATTTTAACTTTATTAGTTTTTTTTTTTTTTTGCAAAATTGTATTTTTTCATTAAATGTTTAATGTTTGCTAAATTAAAATTTTATTTAATTAACTCTTACTTAATTAAATAATTAAATATTTAATATTAAATTTTTTGAAATTCAATTTTTTCCATGGGGGGGAATTTTTTTTTTCTTGATTAGCATCAAGTCCAAGGTCGGGGGCAGAAAGGCACTGTCTGTGCATTTGCTTGCCTCCCTCCCTTCTCCCCACCCCTACCTTCCCCCTCCTCCTCTTGGTACTGCAGACTTCAGTTTCCGACCACGTCAGCATTGTGCCACATCAGCAACGTGCCACAATAGCAGATTGCCACATCAGCAGCGTGCCACCTCAGTGTGCCACGACAGTAGATTGCCAATCGTCAGCGTGCCACCTCAGCAATGCCACATCATCAGGGTGCCACCTCAGCAGTGACACGTCTGTCGCAACGAAGCCAGGACTACTAGATGGGCCGCAGTCAACGACTTGCTGAGCACGGATCCAAGGGAACCAAGCCCCAACAGGGACCTAAGACACCTCGGATCCCGCGCAGACGATGCACGACCATGGCCGCTACTGCTGACGCAAATTCACAAGCCAGCCCCGCGAGGCCGGTTACTCCTCATATGCCAGTTCAACAGGCAGATGAAATGCCACTAGCGTTTCTTGAATGTATCCAGCTATACTCGGAGACTACTGTAGCTGAACTTCACAAATGGGAACAAGAAGAAGCCGCCCGCCAGCAGGCGATCCAACGACAGCTGGCAGAGGCTGAGGCAGCGCGTCAGCAGGCCGCAGAAGAAGCTGCAGCAGCCGCGTGGTTACAGCAGCAGCAGATGGGGGCAAGTCGGAATCAAGTTCGTTACCAAGCCACAATGGACCTCGCCAACGAAGAATCCACGTACAGGAGGGTACTTCGACAGTAGCACTTTCACGCAAATGAGGAAAACAAGAGGAGCCGACCGAGGAAGAGAGAAGCAAGGAGGCAATAGCAGTATTGATGGAAAACGTGTTGTACACGTGCAATTGGTAGCAACGCAAACTGCTGGCCATGCGGCAAATCTTCATCCGCTACGAAACAACTTTTCCGACGCTGGAACAGAAGATCACCGCCTTGCAGACCACGAACAACGACCAGAAGGCCATCAATGACCAGCTGCAGACCACTGTCAGCAAAGGGTTGGCATGACCGTCTGCAGTTGAGTCGACGGGCAGTGCAGTGTCAGACTGCAGCCCAGCTTTGGCCGCTCAAGCCAAACAACTCGAGGAGCGGATCAACCACGTAGTCACATCCCTTGGCGACATCAGCAAGTTCGCCGGGACGTCTACGGTCAGCAATCAGCTGCAGACGCTCAGCGACCGCGTTCAACAACGAACGACCGTCGTCGTATGCCGAACTTCAAGATTGAGAAGTTCGACGACTACCACAAGACCGATCTGCTGCAATGGTGGACGGCATTCAACGCAGAACCGGACGTACATCACGTCCCACCACTGCGGCGGCTTGACGCACTCTACCTCCAGCTCATCGGAGGGGCGCAAACATTCATGACGCACATGGTCGTCACGTTGGAATGCACCATCGCCACCCTCCATACCAAGATCTCTTGGGAGGAGTTTGAGAAAAAGTGGAAGACCCGGTTCATGGTCAACAACAACAAACGTCACGCATTAAACAAGATCTTCCGCATCTTCCAAGGCCAACAAACATCACGGGAATGGCTGACGGAGTGGCAAAGACTCGTCGCCACCCCGGAGTTGAACCTGCCTTTCGACGCAATCTGGGCCGAGTTCTTCGCCCGATCTTGCGACGGCTTGACATCTGTCCTTGGCAGCGAATTCCAGTATGAGACCTTTGATGAGATGATCTCAAAGGCAAGGGAACTCGTACAAGGTGACCAACGTGCGGCCAATGAGGCCCGTCAACAGCCTGGTTACGTGGAGAAAGGCAAAGGTCCGCGGATGCCGCAAGTAGCAGTGATCCAGCAAGGATCTAGTGAGGACCGCATAGCCGCTTCAACATCGAGTGACGGAGATGTGGCGGCAGCGATACCACCGCAACGCAACGCTCAAGACCCCGTGGGGGGGAACACAAGGTGAAAACAGCGTCGGCGGATGGAGCGAGACAGTCACCATGGACGGAGTTCGGGATCACTGAAGACATGTTCAAGTTACGGCAGAAATGGGGGTGCTGTTTATGGTGCAACAACACCAAACACATCACTAGTGCCTGCCTCGACAAGGACAAAGAAAATGTCAAGCGTCCAGGCTCGGGAAACCGAGCACCGCGGGAAGTGCAGCGACATCACTTTCTAGTCCGCCGGATTCGGCTGCCGTGCTAACAGTCTCTCTCACATCCGGGGACACCGCGGTAGTTGCAAGTTCTCGGATTGACTTCGAGAACTATGCTGTCCAGCTGGTCCCGCCGTTGAACCAGCCTCTCCACATGCAAGATTCAAGCGCATGTGCGGTGTTATCGCCGTCATACAACGAACCGGTTGCTTTGCCGGCCTTTCTATCGGAGGATCCGTCAACTTGGGTGAGTCTTGAAGAACTCGACCCGTTGACGGTTGAGGACTTCCAATGGTTGCCTCTTCCCTCCACCGGTTCTTTGCCAACACCACATTGCAACGCCCTGATGGCACATCTGCGCGAATACTTGCACGCTGCAGTACCACCTCCGTCGACGGACGACGGAGTAGCGGTTGTTGACCTTCGCAGTTATCTCGCGAAGATAGACCGCGAACACGCAACACAACGGTACGTCGACAGCGAGACGCAACTCCTCTACATCCGCATTCAGATCGGAAAGGCGACCTGCAGTGCCTTGATCGATTGTGGAGCGACTCGCAACTACATCAACCAAGACTTTATGGCACGCGTCGGGCTTGGCCCTCGCGTTCGAAGGAAAAGTCAGCCTATGCACGTCATGTTGGCCGATGGTCACACACAAAAGTCAATCGACTGCTGCGTTGACTCTGTGCCCATGTACTTTGCCCCGCTAGCATGCGAGGCCGTGTCATTCGACATATTGGACACTAAGTTCGATATGATCTTAGGCATGTCGTGGCCGCAAAGCAAAGGCCATCCATTAAACTTTTTCCGACACACCGTTCACGTTTCTGATCGGCGTGGCGAACTAGTTCTGTGCACGGTGCCGCTTCCTCATCCTTCGATTGTTTGTCACATGGTCTCCACGGCGAGCATTCGCCAATCCATCAGTCGGCACGACATCGAGGAGATGAACATGTGTTTTCTTCACGCACTCCCACCCGGTGATCAGCCCAAGACGGACACATCGGACCCGCACATCATTGAGCTTTTGGACAGCTATGAGGATGTCTTCCAAGCTCCCGCCGGAGTAGTACCGGATCGGCCCATACGCCACAGGATCACTCTCGAGGATAGCGCCGTACCTCCGCGCAGATGCATTTACCGAGTGAGCGAAGAGGAACTTCAAGTGCTTCGGGCACAACTAGACGACCTCTTGGCCAATGGCTGCATTCGCTCTAGCTGTTCGCCATACTGTGCTCCCGTTCTCTTCGTCCGGAAGAAGAACAAGGACCTTCGTTTGTGTATCGACTATCGAAAACTTAACGCGCAAATGATCAAGAACGCCGACCCTCTCCCTCGGATCGATGATCTTCTCGAGCGACTTGGCGGCACCAAGTACTTCTCGAAGCTTGACCTCAAATCCGGATATCACCAGACCGAGATCCAGCCAAGAGATCAGTACAAGACCGCGTTCAAGACATGGTATGGGCACTTTGAGTGGATCGTCATGCCTTTCGGTCTCACCAATGCCCCAACTACTTTCCAAGCGGCTATGACGACGCAATTCCGCGATCTGCTCAACCGCACCGTACTCATTTACCTCGATGATATCTTCGTTTATAGTCGGCCGCTGGACGAGCACCTCAAGCACCTTCGCGCCGTCTTGGAGCAGCTCCGTATCGCCAAGTACAAGACAAACCGCGATACGTGTGAGTTTGCCCGGCAAGAGCTGGAGTATTTTGGGCCATTACGTTACGTCGCAAGGCATTTGTCCGCTCGCGGACAAAGTACAAGCCATTCAAGATTGGTCGGACCTCACGTGTACTACCGACGTCCGCTCCTTTCTTGGCTTAGCATCATACTACATGCGCTTCGTCAAAAGTTTCCGACGGATTGCTGCACATTGTCGTGACTCGGTCCCCCTTGGTGCCCTTCGAGTTCAATAACGAAGCCTGACACGCGTTCCATACGCTGAAGACGACTTTGCTTCAGGCTCCCGTCTTAAGCATCTATGACCCGACCTTGCCAACCAAAGTGACTACGGATGCTTCCGACTACGGCATTGGCACGGTTTTGGAACAGCATGACAACACAGACTGGCATCCCTTGAGTACTTCAACCAAAAGGTGCCGCCCATCAATTCCCTTGATGATGCGAGGAAGAAGGAACTGCTAGCTTTTGTCACAGTACTTGAGCGGCGTCACTTTCTCATGGGGCGTCGGCGATTCACGTGGGCAACGGATAACAATCCAGTGACTTATTACAAGACGCAAGACACGGTGAGCAGCACGATCGGTCGCTGGATGTATTTCATCGACCAGTTCGACTTCACCTCCAAGCATATCCCGGGCCCCTCGAACAAGGGCGGATGCTCTCTCGTGAAGACCCGATCTTTGCGCCTTGGTGCACTCCACATTCGGCCTCGACGAGAACCTACAACAACATTTCGTAAACGGCTACAAGTCGGATCCGGGATTCTCCACACTCTACGTGGACTTATCATCAGATCAACCGTCGACAAGCAACTATCGCATCGCCGACGGTTACTTGCTCCTCCATACGCAAGGCAAGGACTTGTTGTGTGTTCCCCAAGACCGCATCTTGCGCACTCGCCTCCTTGGCGAATACCACGATTCGCGGCTGGCGGGACACCTTGGCGTCGCACGCACACTTGCACGACTCCGCCAGCGATTTCACTGGCCGGACATCATCAACGACGTCAACCGGTACATTCAGTCATGTGCAGTTTGCCACCGAAACAAAGGCCGCCATCAGCTCCCGGACGACGAACTGAAACCATTGCCGATTCCTCAGGAACCAGGTCTCTCCATTGCTATGGGTGTGACCGGTCCTTTCCCTCGCGATCGCCTTGGCCATGATGGTATTCTCACGGTCGTCGGTCGTTTGAGCAAGTACGCTCGATTTCTTCCATGCAAGTATCATGCGACGGATCCCGAGCTCGCACGACTCCTGCACATCGGCTGGTTTTGCAGCCACGACATTCTGGAAGACATCGTCAGCGACCACGACACTCGTTTCATGTCAGCCTTTTGGATGGCACTCATGGTGGAATCCAGCACCAGCATGAAACCGAGTTCCGCACGACATCCTCAAACAGATGGGCAAACGGAACGAGACTGCACAGATGATGCTCCACACACTCATCCGCCCGAATCAAAAGGACTGGGTCGACCGCCTTCTCGACATCGAGTTCGCCTACAACACTTCAGTGCACCCGACAATCGGCGTGACTCCATTTGAGTTACATCATGGTGGACGAATAGGCCGCATCCTCGCAAACATTTGTTTCCACGAGCTGCCGACATCGACGCCGCTTGCTCCCCCGCTTCTACACGAAAGTACAGGAATCTGACGCATGCTCAGGGGAGCAATGCGCAGTATACCAAGGATCCACAATGTGATGAAAAGGACTGAAATGGACAGTGCAAATCAGCGCAGCATCAACAAGCAATGTACATCCCGATACATACAAGATGGCGCAATTGGCACAGCGGAAGACTTCAAAGAGGATATGATCTGACGTGGACTGACCCGACATCCATCACACATCACACATGGGCGAGAGAGGAGGGACCGCAGTCATGGAAGGAAGGTCCCTCCTTCGTACACACACATGGGGAGAAACCACGGATGAGAGATGGGGGAGGGACAAACGAAAGAGGGAGGAGGCAAGAGAGCAGACCAAGATCGCAATGACGGAGTCCAAAATAGTCTCTTGCCGAATGTCCAAACAATGTCTGTCTCAGAAATGTCGAATCAGATCCTGGGCAGTGCGCCCGTTACAACCCCAGCCTGAATCCCTACTGATAACCTCTCACACTCTCAGATTCGAAGAAGAAGAGATAAGAAGGAGGAAGGAGGGAGGAGAGAGAGAGGGGGAGAGAGAGAGACAGAAAGAGAGAGAGAGAGAGAGAGAGAGAGAGAGAGAGAGAGAGAGAGAGAGA